CTCTCTCTCTCTCTCTCTCTCTCTCTCTCTCTCTCTCTCTCTCTCCCCTCTCTTCCCTCTCTCTTCTCCTCTCCCCCCTCTCTCCCCCTCTCTCCCCTCTCTCTCTCTCCTCTCTCTCTCTCCTCTCTCTCTCTCCTCTCTCTCTCCCATCTCTCTCTCCCATCTCTCTCTCCCCTCTCTTCTCCCTCTTTCTCCCCACTCTTTCCTCTCTCTCTCCTCTCTCTCTCCTCTTTCTACATCTCTCCCTCTCGCTCCTTCTCTCCCTCTCTTGGCGAAGAGTGTTAAGACGGAGCAAATACAGCAGGCAGCGGGAACACCTCCCTGCTGGACTTGGCATAAGACAGGACACTCGGGAGCGGAAGCAGGTGTCAGGCACAGATCGCCTACGGTGGTGCTGCCTCCTCACGTCACCCATGCCGGGAATGTGCTGTGTGTGTGCTGTGTTGTGATAATCAGGTTTTGTGCTGTGTCGGTAGAACTTTTGCGGAATTTGGTTGAATCTACAATAAGGGAGTAAGTGTTGTGTATGGACGTATGGTTGTTATATTGATAAGTTTTCTTAATGTATTGAGATATGACTTTTTTTTTGTTATTAACTGGATTATGACAACGGTATTATTTTTGTCGATCTAAGTACGATCTGCAGTTTTCATGTATCAAATTTATCGAACCATGTATTTTTTTTATTCTACTGTCTTACAAGAATCCATTTACGCTTCTTATGTTATCCTGCGTATTATTAATTTTGGAAATTAGGAGTGATTATAAAAATGGGACAAGAAGCAAGAGCGACCAGAAAGAGCGAGTCAGCGAAGGAGATCGTGTAGAGATCAACTTCTTACGAGTGTTATTATGAAGATATTCAGACGAGTTTTTGTGGTGTGGATTATATCCAGCCACAACTGATTGTAGGCTTTCAAGATTATTTTAGACGAAATAAACAAAAGTAATGGACAAACTGACGTGCGCTTGTATTACATTTGCAGACATAAACACGAACATATGGAATAGACAAACATACAGGCACACACACACATACACTCACTCAAAAGCTGTTAGAAACGACTTGAGGCAACCTTTATTGCTTTATTTTGCAATGTTAGTGTCCCGCTGCGACATTACTTGTCAAAACGAGTTCGTAAAGCACAGCATAATTTACGTCGTGAAGTTGTAACTGCGTGATCTGACCTTCGCCCCTCGGTGGTCCAAATAAAGGATTCCATTCAAAGAATACGTGCGTGTGTGTTTGCACTCTAGTGTCTGTGTGTAATGTCAATATATGTACTGTATATATTGTATATATATAGTGTGTATATATGTATATCCTGTTTATATATACAGTTTAGTGTATCTTATATTATATATATATATATATATATATATATATATATATATATATATATATATATATATATATATACACACACATATATATCTACATATATATCTACATATATATCTACATATATATACAAATATATATAGACACACACGGACGCTTACGCAAGCACGTTTGCACGGCACACACGCACACACGCACGCACGCACACAATCACGCACTCACACGCACACAATCACGCACTCACACGCACACAGTCACGCACTCACACGCACACAAGCACGCACTCACACGCACACAAGCACGCACTCACACGCACGCACACACAAGCACACATACACACACATACACACATAGCACACATACAGCAATCAAGCAAGCAAGCACATAAACACCCAAACACACACACACACACAAAATATATATATATAAAACACGGACTTTACTACATCCTGCTCCGAACTCCACGTGCTTCACTAAGTCTCAGTACGAATTCCACGTGCTTCGGGCGGATGAAAGTCGCGAAATTCTGCTGCGTCACCACTCGAAGACGGCTCCGAGATGTTATATAGACCCTAATCAGGATTGCATTGTCAGTGATCAGAGTCCTACTTAATCAAGCTACCTTTCTCCTTACGATTAGTCTTATTTCAGGGCTTGTTGGTAGATAATGTCACCCTGCAATGCCACCGCACTTGTGAAACTCGAAGCATCATGTCTTGTGAATGAAGCGGGAAAACGGTGCGAAGGAAGGGAATCACGTGAATCGCAAAACCTATCGCGCGAAATTCTTAGCCAATCGATCGTGATGATGCAACCGAGGCGATTAACCCTCGACGTGACGAAATCCAAATAGGAAATGGGCAAAATGAGAGTTTAAAAATAAAAAGTAAGAATGTACTTATATATATATTCATATATATAAATATATGTGTATATATATATTCATATCTATAAAATCATCACTATATGTATTATGTATATGCATGCATGCAGGCGCGCGAGCGCGCACGCACACACGCACACACACACACACACACTCACACACTCACACACTCACACACTCACACTCACACTCTCACACACATACACTCACGCACTCACACACTCTCACACACACACACACACACACACACACACACACACACACACACACACACACACACACACACACACACACACACACACACACACACGCGCGCGCGCGCGCACGCTCACATACACACACACACACACACACACACACACACACACACACACACACACACACACACACACACACACCACACACACACACACACACACACACACACAATACAACATAACTCTCTCTCTCTCTCTCTCTCTCTCTCTCTCTCTCTCTCTCTCTCTCTCTCTCTCTCTCTCTCTCTCTCTCTCTCTCTCTCTTTCTCTCTCTCTTTCCCTTTCTCTCTTACTTTATCTGTCTGCCTGTCTGTTGTCTACCACGTGCATGTTTATGATATATATATGTAACAATTAAGAAATAAGTTTCTTTTCTTTCTTATCGAATGTAAAACCCTTGTCATGTAATCTGTGTGTATTCATGGACTGCACATAGCTGAGTATTTATGATGGTAATAGACAGATATTTCCTAATATGAGTGTCTGCATTTGTGTATCAATGGCCCTGCAAATAGTTATGCACGTCGTCCGAGTAAAGACAAACTGGTGGGATGCGGTATCCTGCTCATCCTGCAGTGGCATCCTACGTAACATGAGCGAGATGAAAGGAGCAGCATCCGAGCAGGAGGGGAAACCTGCCACAGGTCACGGACGCTCCGAGGGAAGGGAAATGAAGGCGTGTGGTGAGGAGACCTCTCACACCAATGGCTTGCAACACTAGAGCTTCTGGGTCATAATAAATCTCTTTATGAAGAGAAAATTGGATATATTTTATGTGTGTATTGACGATTCGCTTCATGATATGCGGGGTTATTATTGTTTTTTTGTTTTGTTTTTGTTCTCTTTCAGAAAAGGAAAATTACATATATTTATTTAGTCTCCGGTTTTTTTAAAGTCTTGTTGAGGATTTGCTTCACGATCTGGAGTTTCATTTTTAATTATTTTTTTTTTTAGATTCTAAAATGACATCGTGTCTTGCATGAATAAAAAAAACACACCCGTTGCCTCGGCGCAAGAGGAAGGGGATGGGGAGGGGTAGTGGGGTCCATGGTCCGTTACCCCGGAGCCAGGGTCACATCGCTGCCATGTAATGCCCTTTAATGCCCTCGTAATGATGCCCCTCACTCGTTTCCGCTCCTAACTGAGATTCATAACGGAGGGATGTTCGAATGCGTTTGCATATATATATATATATATATATATATATATATATATATATATATATATATATATATATATAGACACACATACACACACGCACGCGCGCGCACACACACACACACACACACACACACACACACACACACACACACACACACACACACACACACACACACACACACACACACACACACACACACACACACACACATACATACATATACACATGGCATGGCGAAGTATATATATATATATATATATATATATATATATATATATATATATATATATATACATGTACATATAT